GGAGAGAGAGAGAGAGAGAGAGGAGAGGAGAGAGATAGAGAGAGAGAAAGAAGAAAACGACAATATTCGGATTGACTCAGCACTGACGTTACTTCAGGCAATATTACATACATGCGACAAAATGTTTGTCGTGCGCATCGATTGGCTGTCAGATAAAGAAATTTCTAGAATCTCAATAGAGACTCTAGAACTTCCTCTATTCGACAACCAATCGCTGTTCGCTGTCCAATCACCGACGAAATCTCGGTGCAACTATAACCCATGCAGCACAGATTATTGCAATATATTGCAGCAACGTTGCAATGTTTGCAAGTTGCAATGCAAGTTATAAAGACATTGCAGAGATATAGGTGCACACAATTCCAGCACACTTGTAGCAACATGACATTAATATTTCGGAAATATTGCATGTAATCCAATTCTATAATTTATAATATTGTAATATATATACATATACCCAGCAAACACCAAGTTACAGCTATATAATTGTTAGTTGTAATTTCCACTCAAAATATAATACGTGTATTATAACAATTATATTGTGGAGTGGAAAATTACAACTAACCACAAACACCGATATTAATTGTTTACATTGCTATAATAAAACGGAATATAAACAGGATATAACGTGTACGTTTACATGTAACACCATGTTATTGTAATTTCCTACTCATAGATTAACCTTTTATTATAACATATCCCATACAGCACAGATTATTGCAATTATATTGCAGCAACGTTGCAATGTTGCAAGTTGCAATGCAACATTATAAAGACATTGCAGAGATATAGGTGCACAAAATTCCAGCACACTTGTAGCAACATGACATTAATATTTCGGAAATATTGCATGTAATCCAAATTCTATAATTTATATATTGTAATATATATACATGTACCCAGCAAACACCAAATTACAGCTATATAATTGTTAGTTGTAATTTCCCACTCAAAAATATAATACGTGTATTAATTATAACAATTATATTGTTGAGTGGAAATTACAAAATTATATAACTGTAACTTGGTATTTGCTGGTATAATACTGTAATAAAATAATTTTTTGCAATATTGTACAATAAAAGATGTTAACGATAATCAATAATTTTATTAAATCATTGGCTTAAATTTCTGCGCCGAACGCTCTGCGCAATACATGTGTGCGTGTATAGTAGGCGCCGGCTTCGCTACGTAGTAGACGTAGACCGTTGCAACTCGTGGTTATCACGTGTACAGTAACTCGCATTGACTTGTTTTGCTGTGTAAAGAAAAGGTAAGCATTTTTTTGATAATACTATGTTTAATTATAACGATATACTATAAAGTTAAAAATCTATATTTCGTAATTATAAAAGAGAATTACTTGTCCCAAAGTTAATAAGAACCTATAACCTCTATAACCTCAAGGAGACTGAGACTGATTGGGAAAGTAAAAACTATATATTTATTTATGATATATCTTCGTATATTTTTAAGTGAATATTTTTGCTTTATTTAATTTTCTATTTTGCTATGGGATATATGTACATATCTCTATGATACAGTAATATGAAACTATAGATACTTTAGAGGTAAATATAGGCAGCAGTTAAAATAAATAATTATAATACATAAAAAGTAATATAATATATATAAATCTGTAGCTAGTGCTTTATGTGTGTATATTTTATATTATCATTTCTTACTTGTGATGAGTGTTTCAACTATTTATACAGTTCGCACTGTGCATATACATTTGTCGCATTGCAGATAATATGTATTTGTATATTGTGAAATAGAAAACCAGAAAGAAAGCAAGAAATATTGAAATAAGAAAATATATAAAGGCACATAATAGATAAATATAATTATTACTGTTCTAATCAAGTTGAAATTTTGAGAGGATATATGTGATTTTGTCTCTAGAATAAGCATATGTTTTTGTATTATGTGTAATAGTATAAACAACACATTATATACAAATAAATATAGGCAAATTAATCTGTTTTTATATTAAAATATTTTTACTATATTGTTTCAGAGAATATTACTAAACATTTTGGCAAGGAGGATTCTACGTATAATATCTTGAGTAATACGTACATACTTTTGATATATGTATATATTAGCATTTCATTAATAGGTAAGCATTCTTATGTATGTAGGATTTATTTCCTCTCATCTTTAATTAATAATTATTGAATTATTTGAATTATATATTACATTTACAGATATAACTAAAAAATATGTAATTTATTTTAAAAAATTTGTATTTGTACTGACAAGCTTAAACTTAAATGTATAATATGTCTAATATATTAAAAGGTAAAATATCTGTTTCAAAACGTCATATTAGGAGAATTATTGAAGATCAAACTAATATTGATCTAGCAGGATTATCTACACAAATCATTAAACAATCATGCAGTACCAATAGATCTTTTAAAGATAATTGTTTGACTAGATTAAATAAAAATACTGATATAAATATTTATGCGTTTAATAAAGACACTAATGAAACACTTAATTCTGAAATTGAAATCTGTAACAATGAAAATTATTATCTACCATGTCAAAATGATAATCCTAGCATGGAAATAGATTGTAATCATGATAATGATAGTGAAAATGTCATCACAGAAAATAAAAGCAGAAATTACAATGATGATGATAATGGTAATAATAAATTTAAAAATGATTTAATTACATGGGCTTTATCGTACAATATTAATCACAATGCATGTAATGCATTGATAAAACTTTTGCAGCAATATACATCATATAACTTTTCAAAAGATATACGGACGTTACTGAAAACTCCACAAGTTGATGTAATAAATGCATGCGGTGGACAATATTTTTATGCGGGTTTGGATAATGTGATTAAGAAAATGTTTCTAAAATCGAACGAAAAATATATAGATTTACTTGTAAATATAGATGGTCTTCCTCTATCAAAGTCATCACAGGCTTCATTGTGGCCTATTTTACTTTCAAATACAGTAAATGAAGATGTATATTTTGTTGGTGCATATTTTGGAGAAAAAAGCCGCAAGATTGTAATACTTTTCTTGAACCATTGGTTAATGATTTAATTTCCTTTAACAATGGTTACATTTATGATAAACACGTGATCAAAATTAAATTATTTGGTTTGATATGCGATGCACCAGCAAAATCCTTCATTTTACATACAAAGGGTCACACTGGATTCTACAGTTGTACAAAATGTACAATAAAAGGAAAATATTTGAACGGTCGAGTATGCTTTCCAAATGCACCATATTTTTTAAGAACTGATGACCTCTTTGCCATTAATGGTTATAAGAATTTTCAGATAGGTTACTCTATTGTAAATAATATTCCGAATTTTTTACCTATAACGAACACACCTTTAGACTATATGCATCTTGTATTATTGGGCGTTGTTAAAAAATTAATACTTTTATGGATAAAAGGACCGCTTTCTGTACGGTTAAGACCAAGATCAATTAAAAGAATATCATATTTATTAATCCTACTTAGAAATAGTACACCCAATGATTTTGTTAGAAAGCCAAGATGTATACAAGATGTAAAACAATGGAAAGCTGTAGAATTCAGAAATTTTCTTTTATATACCGGACCTATTGTTTTAAGATATTCATTGACAGAAAATTTGTATAATCACTTTCTTATGCTTCACGTAGCAATTACAATTCTTGTTCGTCCGGATTTATGTAAAACAAAATTTATAGATTATGCAGAGGCTTTACTTAAAAATTTCGTTTTATCATTTGAAATATTGTATGGGAAAAAATTTGTGTCACATAATGTCCACAACTTATTACATTTATGCTCGGATGTAAAAATATATGGTCCGTTAGATAAGTTCAGTGCATTTCGCTTTGAAAACTATATGATGTCTATTAAAAAATTATTAAGAAAGAACGAAAAACCACTGCAACAATTGGTAAAAAGATACAAAGAAAAAGAAAATATTGATTTTTTGTTACAAAAAAAAGACTTTAAAAAAGACTTATGTTCATTAAAATATTCACATAATGATGGACCAATTCTTGATTATATTCAGTCTCAATCACAATATTTACAGTTATCCACTACAAAATTTCATATACATTGTAAAAATATAACGGTAATAATTGTTGTCTCTTAGTAAACGGGTGTTATATTATTATTTTAAATATAGTGAAACAAAATGAAAATATTTTTGTAATTGCTAAAAAACTCACATATGTAAATAATGTATATAAAATACCTTGTGAATCAAGTGAGCTTGGTATAAAAGTGATGATGCTCAATAGCGATGAAATATTCTCTTATCCAATTACAGATGTGCTCTGTAAAGTATGGAAAATTCCTCTTGCAAATAAACCTAATACATTCGCAGTATTTCCCTTAAACCATACGATGTAAAATGATTTTAAATCACACATAATAAAAATGCGATTATTTTTGTATCAATCTCTCTCTCTCTCTCTCTCTCTCTTTATATATATATATATATATATATATTACATATATTTTGTTGTATACATATGAACATACATTTATGTTTTATATGCTTCAGTACATATACATATTTTGCATTGTAAAGAAAAATGAATACCGATTATGTCATTGCGGAATTTAACGATGGACTTCAGCTAATACCTGCATTGTGGTACAATGCAGATAAACGTTCAAGTATTTGGCCTACTCATTTTAAAAGTAAATTTAGAATAAATAAAGCAATAATAACAAGAGAAATGCCACAAAATGTTGAATGGGAAGTATTACCAGTGAAAAGGATTTTTGGCAGAGCAGGTAAAAGTTAATTATTATATTTATAATTGTTATATTAAGAACTTATATAGTAAAAAAAGTTTTGAACACTTTTTCCTATTTATAGTACATTTTACAAGTTATTATTAGTAAATTAAAATTTATTATATAACATATTATTGTTTTAAATTTTACAGATAATTATGAAGAAGGTATGGAAAAATTAATCATAGCTGAAGACACATCTAATATAGAGGCATCATCTGATGAATTAAACATACAAAAGAAAAAAAGAAGACGTGAGAAAGCCAAGAAAATTATGTCATCTTCTTCAGACGAAGATCTATGTTTTAATGGAGATAATTTAAATGAAAACAATTATGCAAGACAAAGTTGTAGTAACCTCCTACCTGCATGTCCAGAAATTCGAAATTTTGTACCTCAAAAAAAGCATATGCAGACATTCACAGAAAACAATCCTACAAATGTTTTATATCAAAATTCTTACAGTAAGTAAAGTGTTAAGCAGTAATAATTTGTTATAAATATTATATTAAAAATAATTTTTTGTGTGTATAATAATATTTTTGCTTTTTAGATAAAACTGTTAACATTGAAAATATTTCAAAGAACACAAAAGATTTTACAGAAAAATCTATTGATAGCGATATAGAAAATTTTGGTGGTATGTTTCTATATATATATATTATATTTATATAAATGTAATATCTATAAGATTTAAATGTTTTATATCAAAACATATATATAAATACATGTACACAGATATATTTTCACACAATTATTAATAATAAATATTGTTAACTGCAATACTTAATAATTTAATAAATATATTTTTTCAGAATGCAAAAAACTAGTTTTTGTAAAACTAAATAAAGTTTTATATAAACTTAATAGTATTGAAAATAAAATCGACATGCTAGATGAGAAAATGCAACGTTCTAATTATTCCAGCCAAGAAGAGATTGTTATACAACTGCCTATAACAACATTTGAAGAATTAACAACTTTTGAAGAAGAATTAAAAGATGTTAATTTCAAAGATAAAGCGGTGAATATTTTAAAAATATATTCTTTATTTTTATCGCATACTGCTAAAATTCCAAATGTAAATAATAATATAATACATTTAATATTTATCTAATAATTAATAATGTAATTAATCTAATAATCTATAAGTCTTTGTTTATATTTGAATTTGACATTTAGAAAGCCTATGCTTTATACATAGTTTAATTAATCTAATAATTAATTAATAATTTAGAAAAAAAGGAAAAGGGGGAGAAAGAGAGCGCAATCAATACGAGAGTATAAAACAATATTTTTTAATATTATTAATAATCATGTATATTTTTCAGATTAATACGTTTCAACTTGTGGGTGGAAGTACAGCACACATAATGATACGTAACATTTTAAAAAAAGCTGTGACAAATAATTTGGCACAGCATTTTAGCTGGGCTGGAAAAAAAGCTAAAAAAAGCTTTCAAGATTTAGGACTTGCAAGAATAATTATACGTAAGTTAAATTTTTTATATAATTTTACGTTCCCCACTAGTATCAAATTAAACATTTGTGAAAAGCACACACTATATTGTAATGTTTATAATAACTTTTTGTGTTATAGAAGCTATTCGTACAACACATAAACATATAAGTGACACCGAAATTGGCGCAACTATTGCCAAGTGGCTAGCCCAAGCTGCTGTTCGAATTGAGAGAGCAAAGTATGTACTTAAGGCGTTTATATTTTATATAATTTTATAAATACTTGTATGCAGTATGTATATTTTTATGTAGGTGAGGTTTTATGTAAGTATATGAATTTTAATATTATTTTATTTTTACAGATCCTTAACAGGAAAGGAAAATCAGCCTCGTTAAGTTTATAATATTTATAATGCTCTTTCTAAGTTTTTTTTATGTTCAATGATTTACTTTATTTGTTTTAACATAATTCCTTATCTTTATTTTTAAGTTCTCTTAACTGAAAACAAACTATGTTTTAAGGCTCAAATGTTATGTTTGGAATTATATAGTTTATGGTTCAAACTCTACGTCGTTACTATCTTTAAGTTTCTTTATAGCTAGTGGGCAATTAATGCTAGCCCATACGCCAAATTTAAAATTATCTTTAAGTTTCGATTAATCGATTGTGATTATATTTATGATTATATAATCAACTGTGATTAATATTTATTTGTGATTATATATAATCGACTGTGATTATATTTATTTGTGATTACATTGCAATAAACAAAAATATAGATAACATTTAACTACAACGTATTTTCATTAATGATTTATTTACATTTATATACCTGTATATGCAACATTAGTTTATGGTTGCAATAACAATGCATTATTGCAAACTCATAACATTGCAATATTGTTGTAATATTTTGTTGCAATCTTCCAAAAAGCGGACATTTTAACATTGCTGCAATTCAACAGCAATGATGTAGCAACATTTTGCAGTGAATTTGCAATATTGCAATATTGCGGTGAAAGATTGTTGTAATGTTTTTGCAATCTATCGGTGCTGTATGGGATATTACATTGTAGTTATATTGTAATTATATACCAAATAGCACATTGATGTATTGATAAGTCAGTGCTATCTTGGGATATAATGGCAATATAACTACAATGTAATATATGTAATATTAAAAATGTTACACCTATGAGTGGGAAATTACAACTAACATATACGTTACATGTAACATGCTTAAGTATATAACATTTATATACTGTGTTTGCTGGGAACAATTATATAACTGTAACTTGGTATTTGCTGGGTATAATACTGTAATAAAATAATTTTTTGCAATATTGTACAATAAAAGATGTTAACGATAATCAATAATTTTATTATCTTCCAAAAAGCGGACATTTTAACATTGCTGCAATTCAACAGCAATGATGTAGCAACATTTTGCAGTGAATTTGCAATATTGCAATATTGCAGTGAAAGATTGTTGTAATCCCAGCAAACACAGATATGTAATTGTTACATTGCCGTAATAAAACGGAATGTAACAAGTAATATAACGTGAATGTTACATGTAACATTCACGTTAGTTATTATTTCCCACTCATAGGATATTGCAGTTATATAACCAACCATAACACATAATTAAAATGTAATATAACTGTAACATTGTAACTTTAATATTATATAACAATTATATAAATTGATGAATGTTACATAATAGTAATATAAATTATTTTATTGTTATAAAACTGTTATTAAAGTAATTACAGCACAGTTATATAACAATTATATATATTTATATATTTTAGCACATATTTATAATTTTCAGGAATATTTTGAATCCTAAAATTAATTTTAAATAAAACAAAATAAAATTGCAATGAAAAAACATTTATTTAGTTTGATTTAAAATCAATTCAAGAACTTATAATATTATAAAGTATTATATATATAAGTTCTTGAATTGATTTTAAATCAAACTAAACAAAATGTTTTTTTATTACAATTTTGTTTGTTTTATTTAAAATCAATTCCAAATTCAAAATATTCCTGAAAATTATAAATATTTTATAAATAAATATATTATAATTACATTAAAGTGATATAAAATTGATAAAAAAGGAAATAAAGATAACAATAAATATAATATATACCGTTTTTAATATATTTTTATAAATTAAAATAATACGTATATATATATATATATATATATATTCAATTCAATACTTTATTTGCCCCCTCAGGGATTAAAGGCGCTTTTGAGGAGCGTACCCAAACTTACAAATTTCTTACAATCTTAACTTATAGACTACTCTTACATTCTACTCTTACATCTATCTTACAATTATCTTATCTCTAACTTAATCTACCTATTTACTAATTAAGAGAGAGAAGAGCTGTCCCTAACCTATTTCTCGCTTCGCCTCGGCTTCCAGTTCCCCATACATTCCCCAACACCTCATTCATACTTTCACACATTCTCCTCATACCTCCTTCCTCCTCTTCCCCTTCCACCCTCCCCTCCATCCTCTTTTTCTCTAATTCCCTCATCCATCCTTCTCCCTCTCCTCCTTCTTGCAGTATTTCCCTCATTTTTTCCCACCAGTTTCCCTTATTCCCCTCTCCCCCACATTCTCCTATTACATGTTCCCAAGTTTCGTCTTCCATCCCACATAGTCTGCATCTTCTTTTCCCCTCCTCTTCCCAGTATCTCGCCCCCCTCATTTCATTGTTCATTCTATACCTCACTATCCTTCTCCATCTGCTTTCCCCCCATCCCTTTCTCAAGTATTCCGGTAACCCCTCCTCCTTCCATTCTCCATACCATCTATTGTATCTCGACTCTCTTATCTTCTCCCATCTTTCCTCCTTTTGCCTTTCTCTGTCCTTCTGCTCCCATCCCTCATATACTTCCTCCCCCCTTTCTCTTTTTTCCTCCATCTCCCTCTCTTCTATCCCCCTTCCTTCAAAAAATTTTGCCCTCTCCTTCTCCCACACCGTTTTCTCTCTTTCCTTCCTTTACCCTCTCCTTCATCTCCTCATAGCATTTCCTCGCTAAACTTCCTCCCATTCCTTCCTCTAATTTTTTCTCATACCCTATCGCTCTTCTTCCTGCTCTTATCCTGAATTTATCCTTTCCTATCTCTTCTCTTACCATATACCCCGGCGTACACCAATCTACTCCTAGCGTCCACCTAATCCATCTTTCCTGCATTGCCTCTACTTCTCTCCTCTCCTTCCACCCCCATATCTCCGCCCCATACTCCATCACCGTTCCCACCAACCTTTCCATTAACCATACTCTTTTCATCTAGTCTCCTGCAAATCTTCTCTTTCCCATACCCCATACTTGTCTCATCACCGCTCCTGCTTTCCTCACTCTGTCCCTCACCTGCGCCTCCTGTCCTCCATTCCTTTGTAACTTATATCCTAGATACTTGAACTCTTTCACTTCCTCTAATTTTTTCCCTTTCCATCTCCACTCCATTTTCCTCATTCTTCCTCCCCCCTTTCTAAACCTCATTATTTTTGTCTTATCCACATTTACCTCTAGCCTTTTTTTATCCATGTAATTTTCCATTTTCCCCAACATATGTATCATCCCCTCCTCCTCCTCCGCCAACAACACCATGTCATCAGCATATGCCAAGCAGTGCACTTTTTCCCCTCCCAACTTTACTCCTCCCCAGCCTCCTTTTTTCAGCACTTCCTCTATATCCGCTATCAACAAATTGAACAAGTGTGGGCTCATTGGACAACCTTGCCTCACACCCCTTGCCGTCCAGAAGTTTTCTCCTTCCTCCTTCCCCGCTCTTACTTTACTCCTCGTTTCCTTGTATACCTCTTCTATCCTACTACTTAACCCTTCTCTTACCCCCCTCTTCCTTATCGCCTCCATTAACACCTCCCTATCCACTGAGTCAAACGCCGCCTTCAGATCTATGAAGGCCGCTACTACCTTACCTCCCTTCTTCTTCACTTTTTTATTGATCAGGTAGTTTAGCACATATATACTGTCAATCACCCCCATTCCCTTCCTAAAGCCTGTTTGACTCTCCGGCAACATATTCCCCCTCTCTATTTCCTCCTTTAACCTTTCTGTTAGAATCCCCACATACACCTTATATAACGTTGGCATCAAAGTCACCCCTCTGTAGTTTTCCACCCTATTCCCCGTTCCCTTTTTTAACAGTGGTACTATTATCCCCTCTTTCCACCTCTCCGGCCATCCTTCCCCTCTCCAGACTCTGTTGCACATTTCCCATACCCACTCTTCTACCCTCTCTCCTCCATATTTCCATACCTCACTCGGTATCCCATCCTCCCCCGCTGCTTTTCCTTTCTTCAATTTTCCCAATATCCTCTTTACTTCCCCCCTGCTTATCTCCTGCTCCTCATCCCTCTCCCTTTTCTCTTTTCCTCCTCTTACAACTTTAACCTCTACCCCTCCCAATAAGTCCATGAAATATTCCTTCCACTCTTCCGCTTTTATCTCCTCATTCACTCCTTCTCTCTTCTTCCTTTCCCTGTTTATAATTTTCCATACCTCTCCTTCCGTTCTTGCCTCTATCGCTTCCTTGTACCATCTTATCCTCTCCTCCTCCTTTTTTCCTTTACACATTAGCTTATATTCTGCCCTTTCTTTTCTGTATCCTTCTCCTCCTCCTCCTTTCTTCCTCCATTCCCTTAGCTTTCTCCTCACTTCTTTCCTCTTCTCCTCACATTCCTCATCCCACCACCCTTTCTTTTTTCCTTCTCCACTCTCTTTTTCTCCTTCTCTCAATTCCTCTTCTATCCTTCCTATTTTTTCCTCTAGCTCCTCTTCTATTCCCTCTTTCCACCCCTCTCCCCATTCTATTTCCTCTCTTATTCTTTCTCCTCCCCTCTTCGTCCATCTCCCCTTTTTTCTTATTCCTTTTCCTTCCTTCCTTTTCCCCTTTTCAGCACCTCCTCTTCTTTCTAACGTTACAATCAAAGGGTGATGGTCCGACTCTATGTTATCTCCCACCTCCATTCTCTTTATCTTTTCCTTTACTCTATCCTCTCCCACCACATAGTCTATCACCGATTCCCCTCTTCCTCCTGTATATGTGTACTCCCCCTCCCTATCCCCTCTAATCCCTCCGTTAAAAATTCCCCATCCCACTTCTTCTAGCTCTTTTATCAACTTCCTCCCATCCTCATTTACCTTCTTGTCCTTCGATCTTCTTTCCTCTTCCTCCTCTCCTCCTATCACTCCCCCCCTTCTACCTGTCCTTGCGTTGAAATCTCCTAAAATCGTCCATTTGTCTTCTTCTTTCTCTTCCATCCATTCCTTCATTTCCTCCATTTTCCTTTCCATGTCCCCGTTAATGTATATACCTATTACCCTCCACTTCTCTCTTCCTACCTCTAAATCCGCCATCATTATTCCCTCCGCCTTTTCTCCCATTCCTGATACTTTTATCCTTCCCCTCTCCTCCTTTACCCCCATGATCATTCCCCCCATCGGTCTTCCTTTCTTCTTTCTCTTTTTTGCTGCTTGCTTCTCCCATCTATATCCTTTCGGTAACCTCTTTTTAATCGCCTCCCACCCCTTTTCCTCTATCCATGTTTCCATCATCACCACTACCTCCCAATCCTCTATTTCCTTCCAGAATTTTTCTTCCTTGTTTTTCAACCCTGCCACATTCCAAAAACCTATCTTCCATTCCTCTCTTACTTCTCCTTTTTCCTTTCTCTCTTGCTCCTTTCTTCTTTCTATCTCCGTCTCCCTTTCTCCCTCCTCCTTTCTCTTCTTACTACTCTTCTTCCCTTCTCCTTTCCTTCCTTCTTCTCTTCTCCCCTCTTCTATCCCTTTTTTTCCTCCATTCTTGTCTTCATGCCCCCCTCTTCCACCTCCATTTTCTCCATTCCTTCTCTAATTTCTCCTTTCCAGTTCTTGAGCACTCTTTCTTCCTCTTCCCATTTCCACCAAACATCATTGATTTTTATCCTACCGTAGTTTGTCCACACCTTGTTCCCTTTCCTCTTTTCTTCCTCCGCAATTTCCATTATTCTCCATTTCATCTTTCTTTCCTCCCATGTTAGGTCGTCCTCTATCCTCACCCTCTTTCCTCTTAACAGACTCTTTTTTTCCATTACCTGTCTCTTTTGTTCTCTGCTGCCTAGTCTTACAACCACCATTTCTCCTTCCTTTCCCTCCTTTCCTTTCAACCTTCTTATCCATTCTATTTCCGTTTTCGCTCCTATTTCTTTCATTATTTTCTCCACTCTTTCTTTTACATCTTCCTTCCCTTCTTCTATTCTTCTTATCACGATGTTATTCCTTCTTTCTCTCTCTCTCTTTCCACTCTAACTTCTTTCCTATGTCTCTCATTTTCCCCATTATTGACTCACCTAACCCTTTACTCTCCTCCTTCTCCCCCCTCTCTTTCTCTTTCTTCCTTTTTACTTCTCTTCTCTATTCTTGCCTCCAACTCTATCACCCTTTCCTCCAGTCTTTCTATCTTTTTTCCCATTTCTTTTCTTTCTTCTCTCCATTCCCCCTCCTTTTTCCATATTTCAATCTTCAATTTTCTTATTTCCTCACCCAACTTCTCTGTAATCTTCTCTCCTATCTCCTCCATCATCCTCTTTAACTCCTCCTTTTCTATCCCCCCTACTTCTCTGTTCAGCCTTTCTGTTTTTTTTGCTCCTTCTCAGACTTCTTTCCTCTTCATCCTTATCCTCCTCTCCCCCTTCTTCCCTTTTCCTTTTCAAGAAATCCTCTATACATCCCATACTGCTCCTCCTCTCTTTCGCTAACTCATCTACTCTTCTCGGCCTCCCTGCCTTCTTCTTTACTTCCTCCTCATCTCCCCTCTTTCCCCCTTCCTCAACCATCCTATCTCTAGTAGTCTCTATCCTCCTATCTCTACTATTCTCTTCACTAACATTCTTTTCCTCCTTATTCATTTTTCTCTTATCGCTTTCTTTCTTTGATTCACTTACTCTATGTTCTAATTCGCTCCAACTCGCTAGTGAATTCCCTAGTGAATTCCCTATTGAATTCCCTATCTTTCTATCTGCACCTGCTCTCTACACCTACTCTCTTTCTTCCACGTGTCTACGTGTCCACGTGTCTCCCCTTTTCCTGCTTTCTATTTCCTAACTCCTTACCCCTTTTCCTTCTCCTATCCTTTCAATCTATCCTCCTCTTTTTCCTACGCCCTCTCACCTCCTATCTCCTATTCTCCTCACCCCTTTTCTCACTCTTTCCTCACAAATACCTGCCACGCTTTCACACACCTGTCACTCACACTCTCACCGGAACCGGAAGCCTATATATATATATATATATATACCTATAAACGAATTACACATATAAACTTTTTAAAATACACATAAACTATAATTATGAAAAAAATAAATCTTTATATGTCGTAGGAAGTACACAAAGTGACAATGCTATAATTGATCGATGATAATATATTATCATAAACTCTTGTAAATATAAGTTTTGTAACTAAATAATAGTAACTGCTCAGATCTCAAAGTAATAATTAACATTATTTTTTATTATTTATCAGTTTAAACATCTCCTATCTCATCAGGTACGTTTTCCTTTTTTTTTTTCTCTGTGATATCGTTGTTAAACGAAGCCATTCCGCCACAATATTTTCTGTTTCTGTTTCCGTGAATGTTGGGTAGCGTGAAACAACTTCTCCTTAAAGAAAAATAATAAAACAATTTTGATAAATATTTTGTAATATCTATTTAAAATTTATATTTAAAAATAAAAATTTTTTTAATAGTTTATATTTTGAAACTTACTTATTATTGTTTTCATTAACTGCAAATTACAAATTTTAAAATTATCTTTTTCCCTTTCCAAGAACAATCTATGGCACATTTATTTGTGAAAATATTCTTTAAAATCCGATGAATATTGTCTTTAGGATTATTCCCACCAATTTTCAATAAAAATCTTTTCTGCAAAATAATATTTTTTGTTTGTTAATATTTTTGCTTATCATAAAGTTTTTATATTAAAAAAATCAATATATATTTATATATGACTGTTCGAAAGTTTGGAAACATTCACGATTATTTTACATCTCATAAAAAGTTAAAAAAATTTCTAAAAAGTTTTTCTACGCATCAAAATCTACTTGTAAAAAAGTTTCAAAAAAATCAGTGAGAAGGACCGCTCATCTTTACCTTTACCAAAATCACAGGTGTTGCCGAATTATATAATAATACCCATACAGCACCGATAGATTGCAAAAACATTACAACAATCTTTCACCGCAATATTGCAATATTGCAAATTCACTGCAAAATGTTGCTACATCATTGCTGTTGAATTGCAGCAATGTTAAAATGTCCGCTTTTTGGAAGATTGCAACAAAATATTACAACAATATTGCAATGTTATGAATTTGCAATAATGCATTGTTATTGCAACCATAATCTAATGTTGCATATACAGGTATATACATGTAAATAAATCATTAATGAAAATACGTTGTAGTTAATTTATATATATTACAATATATAAATTATAGAATTTGGATTACATGCAATATTTCCGAAATATTAATGTCATGTTGCTACAAGTGTGCTGGAATTTTTTGCACCTATATTTCTGCAATGTCTTTATAATGTTGCATTGCAACTTGCAACATTGCAACGTTGCTGCAATATAATTGCAATAATCTGTGCTGTATGGGTATTAACGATAATAAAAACACACATTGCAAAAAAATATAAAAACTTACGAGTAGCGTTTCTGCTTCTTTATTTGTTTTCAATATATCTTCTATATTTCTTATATCTTCAATTTGGTTGAGAGGAAAAACTCCACAATATAATTATTGCTTTCCATAGATTGTTGTATTGGATAGCCCCGCCTCATTACATCTTCCATTTTTTTCAATCGTTCAGTGTTATCTCTTAACGTTACATTGCTTGTTGCCATCAAACGTTCTATCTTTTTAAGCTTTCTGTAATGTTATAGATAATATTGTACGTATATATAAGACAAAGATATTATGAAATTAAATTAAAATTGTTTTGAAAAATAACGTACCTTGTATATTAAAGTTTTCTTGCGTTTGAAGAGGAGTTGAGAAAAAATCGGTACAAGCAGTATTTAATTCATTATTAATCAATTGATTATATCTTCTTTTAGATAAATATCGTAATTCTTTAGGCATGATGAACAAGTTTTTCTTATATAAATGCTGAAAGAATATATATATATGTATATATATATATTTATATGTATATACATACATATACATACACACACACATTTATACATATATATAAAATATTTGAATGCACATATCTATTATACATATAATCTTTCCACGATTATCTCCCGAACCTCATTATTCGTTATTCTCAGTATCAAAAAACTTTATTAGGTAAAAGTAGTAATATATAGATAAGAATCTGTAGAAAGAAACCAACCCTCAAAAATTGAAGATAAAAAAGAAAAGTTAGATTTTAATTTTCAGTTAAATAACAGTTTTAATAAATTATAAAAAGAAACAAATTTACAAAAATCTATTTTTTGTTAATTTTATATGATGTAATAAATTCTATATATAATTAGATAAATAAAATAAAGATAAAATATAATAAACTTTAAATCCATTATAAATATAAAATTAATAAGAATTCTGAATTTATATAAATCTTCATTTATTATATTTAAGTAAATAGATTTCTTTCTGTACAATCTCATCTATATAAAAGAAGAATAATAAATCAACTTATTATCAACACATATTAATAATAAACAATTGTAAAATGTTTTTTTAAAAGAAATATCTCTTCTCAATCTCTTTACAAGAAATATCTCTTCTCTCTTTCTTTCCTACGTTATTTAATTCTGCTCTTATATTATTTGTTGTCTGTAGCATTGTGCAATATATAGATCTTATAATTATAACTTCCTACAACAATATATTATGTATAACTACTGTTTTATGTTCAAGGTATATGTTAATAATATAATTATATTTATTGTATAATTGTAACATAACCTAGAACTTTATAGGCAGAATATGATAAATTATTTAAACATATATATATTTTTTAAAATATGTATAAATATATTTATAAATAATTTATCATTATTTAATATTCTGCCTATAAAGTTTTAGGTTGTTTTACAATCACAGCCGTTGAAGGCCGTAATATGTTAATTCCCATACAGCACAGATTATTGCAATTATATTGCAGCAACGTTGCAATGTTGCAAGTTGCAATGCAACATTATAAAGACATTGCAGAGATATAAGTGCACAAAATTCCAGCACACTTGTAGCAACATGACTTTAATATTTCGGAAATATTGCATGTAATCCAAATTCTATAATTTATATATTGTAATATATATAAATTAACTACAACGTATTTTCATTAATGATTTATTTACATTTATATACCTGTATATGCAACATTAGTTTATGGTTGCAATAACAATGCATTATTGCAAACTCATAACATATTGCAATATTGTTGTAATATTTTGTTGCAATCTTCCAAAAAGCGGACATTTTAACATTGCTGCAATTCAACAGCAATGATGTAGCAACATTTTGCAGTGAATTTGCAATATTGCAATATTGCGGTGAAAGATTGTTGTAATGTTTTTGCAATCTATCGGTGCTGTATGGGAATATTTATATTCTCATTATATTACATCTGTTATATTATATGTTACTCCTGAGTTATATAACATTTATATTTTGTGTTTGCTGGGATGTTTTTGCAATCTATCGGTGCTGTATGGGAATAAACTCGTTTATGATAAATGTAAATTATGAAAGGTTTACTAATGACGTTATATTTGTTTATTATCTAAATAATTTTATATAAATGATTATTGATCTTTACTTTTTTATATGTTAGAAAGAAATTAAATACAGAGTTTTACTCAAATATTCCGCCTCCCATACAGCACAACAAGATTGCAGCAGCATTGTGGCAACATTTCATTGCAATATTACAACATTGCATAAACATTGTAAAATGTTGCAGCAATCTTGCTGCAAGGTTGCAGCAATGGTAAAATGTCCGCTTTCAGAAACATTGTTCTATAACATTGCAGCAATAATGCAAGAAAAAATATATATAATATTCCCAGCAAACACCGATATATAATTGTTACATTGCTATAATAAAATGGAATATAACAGGTAATATAACGTGTACGTTACATGTAACATTCATGTTAGTTGTAATTTCCGACTCATAGATGTAACATTTTAATATAACATATATTACATTGTAATTATATACCAAATAGCACATTGATGTATTGATAAGTCAGTGCTATCTTGGGATATAATGACAATATAACTACAATGTAATATATGTAATATTAAAAATGCTACATCTATGAGTGAGAAATTACAACTAACATATACGTTACATGTAACATGCTTAAGTATATAACATTTATATACTGTGTTTGCTGGGTTACTATTGGATTATTAGAAATGTGCCAAATACATGATCAGACTGAATGGTCTGTACCTAATATTTTTTGCATGAATTTTATTTTCATAATATTTCTGAAATGTTGCTGCAACGTTGTTTAAACTATATTGCAAATTCATGCCTATATATAATTTCTCCGATAATGCTATGCAATGTACAATATTGTAATGTTGCAATATTGCTGCAAACTTTGTGTGCTGTATGGATGACGTTCAACGCACTGTGCGATGCTGCCACCGTACTAACCGGGCGGCCGAGAAAATAGAGATGCGCGCGCAGCAAACCGATGCGAGAGAGCGTGCTCCAAAAGGCTCAGCGCGAGAGCCGGCACTCTCTTTCAAGAAGTTAACGTGTTTCCACGAGTTAACGTGTAACACGAGAGTCTCTTTGAATTTCATAGTTTGTACTTAGATTTATTTCCACAGTGAATAAATATTGCTAGCAGATCTAAAGTTACTTTAGTGAGTTGATTCTAACGTATCCTGAATATTTCTTGTGTAAATACTGTGTCTGCTTTTATGCGCTCAAAGCCTTTCCTTATTATAAAGAATCATTCTTGTTAGATAACATACTTAACAATATCAAGCGATGTCTTTAATTGAAAATTCATTGATTATGTCTTTTTAATTAATGATTTCTCATTGGATATTTATTAAAGAAAATATGAATATTTAAAAAAAATTTCTGTATCATAATTCATTTTAAGGTTTATTAAATATTTTGAGATTTATTAAATATATTTATAATATTTATGATAAATATTTTTCTGATATTTATGTCAAATATTTATATGATCTCTTGAATCTAAGATTCTAAAAAAATTTATAAAATATTTATGATAAATATTTATAAAATAATTATAAATATTTTGTGCTGTCTAGGATGAAAGAACCACTTTGTCTGGTTCAAAATAATTTTTGGTTGTAAACTAGCATACAATATATTTTTTATTTTGTCAGATATCTTAATTTTTACGAACGCGCCACGAATTTGTATTTTCTTTTTAAATAATTATAAAATATTAAAATAATTATTATAAATATTTTGTAAATATTTTATAAATATTTTGTGCTGTCTCCCCTACAGCACGAAATATTGACGGAATATTGCAAAAATATTGTTTTGCAAGATTGAAATATTGCATGCAATATTCCTGAAAGCTTGCCAATATATGTCCGCCCTCAAACTATATTGTGCAACATTTCTGCAATAATTCTAATTTATTTCTACAAAAGTGAATATAATATTTATAAAATATTGCAGAATATTTATTTTTTTATTGTCTTCATTTATTCAGACATTTATTTGTCTAATTTCTGAGCAATTAATTTAATATTTGAGTTCCCTGTATTAGGATCGTATCAGAAAAAATTAAATTGATAAAAAGTGTTGATTGTAATTGCTACTTTTTGCATGCTCTTTATATAATTCTCGGCACTAAAACTTAATGCGAGTTAGATAGTTCAGCTTGCGGCGCATAGTGGTAAATGAAAAAACTATGTGATTGCATTATAATATAGCAGTAATATTTTGCAATGTTTCCAATAAAATAATAACTTATTATATTTGCACAATATTGCTGCAATATTTGTAATATGACGCAATATTGAAATATTTATGCAATATTTTAGTAATATTTCGTGTTGTAGGGGCTAGGATCAAAGAACCACTTTTGTCTGGTTTAAAATAATTTTTGGCTGTAACCCTAACAGCACCCCTAACCCCGAAGATGTTCAGAGAACATCCTGAGGATGTTTGAATGTCTTGGATATCCTCTGGATATCCTCAGAATATCTTTCGGATATGGTATGCTGTATTAAGGAAACTAGTGTATAATATATTTTCTTATTTTGTTAGATATCTTAATTTTACGATGAACGTGTCACGAATTCGTATTTTCGCGCGTTTTATCACCTCCTCTCATTGATGAAGAGAAGACGTTGGAATACCCGGGAATCTCGGTCAGAGGAAAATGGAAATTCGCGGCGCGCGCAGAAATCAATGCCCATAATATATTGCCAAAGCATGCGCTAAAGGGGAGAACGAGAAGACCCGGCGTACGCAGTACGAGGGAATAAATAACACAGCCGACCGCGATCAGCAGGTGCGCGATTAAAACAATATTCCGCAGAGGTAGAGGAAGCGAGTACCGAACGCGAATAAATCACGCACTCGTAAGGAAAGAGAAAAACCCGATTAAGAGAGTCGCTGAGTCGTCGTCGATCACTTCGAGAATTCTCACCCTCCTGTCGATTTTTCGCTTCTCTCATCTTTCGGCAACATGGACGAGAACCTGAGCCGGGGATATGTCCAGCTGGGCAAGGCCAGGCGCATGAATGAGTTCAAATTTTCGAATGGATTAAAGCATCTTTCGCCGCCCGTCGATAAGAACAACTTTATTTACTCGTCTCTGATCATCGGCGGCATGGGATTTCTTCTGCCTTACAACAGGTCCTTTGCAACCCTTATGTATATTTTATTATTACGCTTTATAGATATATATGCATAAATTGTGCGCGTTGACTTGATCGAAAATTTTTTATTTTCTAACAGTAAACTGGATTGTTTACAAATAATTTGACTGATGATAATTTTATTGATCAATACATTCGTGTGTGTATGTGTGTGTTAAGTGAATTGGCTTGCAAACATTAATATAACCTTTTGTTTACTAGTTCAAGAAAAATTCTTTTTATTATAAATTTTTTTGCTTTCTCGATAAAAATAAAACACCCATAGTTTTTGAAAATTGAAAATAAAGCACTTCTAATCATTAAGTTTTTTAGGTCTAAAGTTAAACAATATATATAATCTTGAATATATTTTTTAGTTAATTTTAAATAAATTTTAAAAGAATATAAAAATTTTATTTAAAAAATAAAATTATAAAAATTATAATATAAAATTTTTCATTGTTTGAAGAAGTAGATGAAATTAATCGGGCAAATTAGTTTTTATTTTATAATTCAATAAGAATAAATTTCTTTGATGTTTTAATGAAGATATTTCGTAATTTTTCTTTAGTAAAAAATAAATAAATTAGTAACAAATTAAAAATTATGAATGTATTTTTAATGTTGTACAAAAGACCATAAACTATCGACTATATTTTTGACGATTACTATATACTTTGTCTCATTGCAAACGATTTTTAATAATTATGGTACAGAAAAACTCATTTAATAATTATTTTGTAATAATTTTATAACGCATGGCTTTCGATACATTAAAAATATTTTAAAACGCACATTAAATTTTTATTACAAAATCTGCAATTTACACTGACAATTGTTATAATTATTCTTTACAGTTTCATTATAGCGGTGGATTATTTTCAAACGAAATATCCAGGAACTACCGTAATATTCGACATGTCTGTCGTTTACATTATTATGGCTTTCTTCGCAGTCTTTGCAAATAATATACTAGTCGAAACCTTATCATTGAATACACGAATTACGTTTGGTAAGATGCGCTAAGTAAGAGTGTATAAAGTTAATCGATACTAGGATAAACATGGTGACATTGCAATATTTTTAATAATATAATTTTAAATTGTCATTTAAATGAGTTTTGGACTTTTAAATAATATTATTTATGTGTGTTTGTAAAATTTTATGTATGTGTGTTTTATGAATTTAAATTTTACACATACTTATGTATATGTATGGGTTTTTTGTATGTTTTTAGTTTTATACGAGTACATTTATTCATGATGATTTGTTAATATTTAAAAATTAATGAGTAATTAGTTATTTTCATATATATATCTTTTAGTAAATTAACATTATAAATATTATATAACTTCAATTTTTATATTTTTAAATAAAAATGAATGTATCAAACTACAATTATCGTCGCGATAACAATTTATTTATTTATATAGAAAAATATATATATAACGAAAGTATACATAATCTAATTTTTATTTTTTAGGATATCTGGTATCTTTTGTTACTCTGAACTTCGTGGTGATCTGTGAGATTTGGTGGGAATTTTTCGGTGTTGCAACTTCCTATACTATTAATTTAGTTGCCGTTGCGATAGTATCGCTTGGTTGTACAGGTACAAAATTAAAGAAATTATTAATAATTTATTGATAGTATCACAGACAACTGAAGGAAAATGATTATTTTGTCATTAATTAATAAACTATTAATTTATGTGATAAATATAATTTCCCATACAGCACAGATTATTGCAATTATATTGCAGCAACGTTGCAATGTTGCAAGTTGCAATGCAACATTATAAAGACATTGCAGAGATATAAGTGCACAAAATTCCAGCACACTTGTAGCAACATGACATTAATATTTCGGAAATATTGCATGTAATCCAAATTCTATAATTTATATATTGTAATATATATAAATTAACTACAACGTATTTTCATTAATGATTTATTTACATTTATATATCTGTATATGCAACATTAGTTTATGGTTGCAATAACAATGCATTATTGCAAACTCATAACATATTGCAATATTCTTGTAATATTTTGTTGCAATCTTCCAAAAAGCGGACATTTTAACATTGCTGCAATTCAACAGCAATGATGTAGCAACATTTTGCAGTGAATTTGCAATATTGCAATATTGCAGTGAAAGATTGTTGTAATATTTTTGCAATCTATCGGTGCTGTATGGGTTAATACACGATTTATAATGTAAAATATGACAAATATGTCGAGACCTTATTCAAAATGAGGTCTCGACATATTTGTTATATTTGTCATATTTTACATTATAAATGTGTATTAAATTATATATATACATATATATATATATATATATATATATATATAATTTCATTTAAGCTTGATATATATATATATATATATATATATATATATGTGTATATATAACCTTGACATATAGTTAAGATCATGGCCTTGAATAACTTTTAAAAGATTTTAATCTCACATTGTTTATTAAAAAGTTATTAACTATTACTAAATAAACTTTTTTAACTTTTTGTTTAAAAAACTTAAGATGATCTCATTCAAAACTTTTTGGCACCTTCACATAAAAAACAAATTAAAACTGTAAAAATATAGCCCTTTCAAAATAATTTAACTTTTGTCTTAAACTTTTTTGTTTAAAATCAATATTTATAAAGGTACCCAGCAAACACCAATATATAATTGTTACATTGCTATAATAAAACGGAATATAACAGGTAATATAACGTGTATGTTACATGTAACATCCATGTTAATTGTAATTTCCCACTCATAGATGTAACATTTTAATATAACATATATTACATTGTAGTTATATTGTAATTATATACCAAATAGCACATTGATGTATTGATAAGTCAGTGCTATCTTGGGATATAATGACAATATAACTACAATGTAATATATGTAATATTAAAAATGTTACATCTATGAGTGGGAAATTACAACTAACATATACGTTACATGTAACATGCTTAAGTATATAACATTTATATACTGTGTTTGCTGGGTATCTTAGATAGCAATTTACTCACCTCGTATAATTTACGTATTGATAATTTGTTAAGTTCTCTGCCTTAATCTTCCAGTTACGTTGTACATTAGATCTGATTAATTTGAAATTTGCAACATTTTCTAAGCAAATTTCTTTAATTGTTATTATACTACAAAAATTTGATCTTATTAATTCTTACTGTTTATAATGTTACAGTTCAGCAGTCGAGTTTTTATGGATACACATCAATGCTTCCCAGTCGATATACGCAAGCTGTGATGGCTGGAGAAAGTAAGTATTTGAGTAAATTCTATGAGTAATTAAAGCTTATTTATTATTAAAACCACAATCTCCACTTGATTCCTCTCGACCAATAGAGCCAAACGCGATGTTATTGCGACAATTATGAAAGAAAGAAAATTTGGAAAACTAAGGAATTTGAATCCTATGGTTGGGATCTCAAAAATTCCTCTTGTTCCTTCTCTTAACATCCCCTGTAAAGAAATAGGCGAGAAAAATATTGGTCCGAAATTTCCGATTCAGCCGACTTTCGGACCAATATTTTTCTCGCCTATTTCTTTACAGGGGATGTTAAGAGAAGGAACAAGGGGAATTTTTGAGATCCCAACCATAGGATTCAAATTCCTTAGTTTTCCAAATTTTCTTTCTTTCATAATTGTCGCAATAACATCGCGTTTGGCTCTATTGGTCGAGAGGAATCAAGTGGAAATTGTGGTTTTAAAATTAAAAGAGCTGACTTAATAAGTATTCTCATTCTTATTCATTATTATTATTAATAAAGATTGAGAATATTAATAATTTTATGACATAAGGAATTTAAAACATAGTGGACTTTTATAAATTTTAGCAAAAACTTACTTTAACTGAAATTTTAATTTATGGTTTAGTCACTAAAATGTATAAAATGTCCAAATTTCAGAAATCGAAAATAATTTCTCTCAATTTTATTAAGAAGAAATTTATTTATTATATTATGAATTATTTATTTCAAACTTATCTAACATATGTATTTTTGTGCAATTTATTATATTACAAAAATAATATTGCGAATACTATGCTCTGTATCTATTTCCAGCAACTTTGAATCATGTAATATATATAAAAAATTTTTTATTGTACTCTTTCAGGTGTTGCTGGCTTTTGGGTATCGGTTAATCGAATATTAACAAAATTGTTAATCAATGATGAACGCGGTAATACGTCTGCATTCTTTCTTATGTCGAATATGACGATTATGTTGTGTTTTGTTTTACATAAAATTATACGAAAGACCGAATTTGTGCAATTTTACATAACATTGTGCCAGGAAAGAAATCGAATCACTTTAGAACCAACGGAAGATGTCGGTTTGGTATGTGTAACATAGTATTCTTGTACACATTGTATTTTTCATTTATATAAAACTTTCAATGGAAGATGTGGGAAAACAAATACTTTTAAGGAAACTTATGATATACAACCCAAGTAGAACAGAAAAGTCAAAATAATGTCAATTTGACGTCATATTGACCAAATTTGAACTCCAAAATTGATCAGTATGACGTCAAAATGATATTATTTTGATCTTCTGTACTTGGGAAGTGCATATACATTTTAAGAAAAGAGAAACTGTAACTGAATTAAATGATTGCCAAATCAAGTTATTTAGTTATCAAACTTATCTAACATATTTTTGTGCAACAACTTAATCATGCATATGTGATTAATGTACATTACTGTGTTCAGATGGATCCGTTGGATCAAGTTGGCGATCCCTCGAAAGGTCAATACGGAGTGTTAAAGATCCAAACGAGTCCATTGGGGACAGATTCTGCCAGTGGCACTGATGGTAAGGAAGATATTAATTTTATATGTTTAAGTATAGAATGTTTATTTTGATCCTCTTGGAGTTACAAGGCGTTGTTTTTGTAAAGAGTGTACCCGAACCTTTTACAATTTAATTTCTTCTAACGTGGCCATAAGGCGATCCTCATATCAATAATTCTTGTTTTCCTTCTTTTTTTTCATCCTTTTTTCTCTCTCTATAACTGTCTTCTCCTTCTACAATTTTTTTCCAAAAACCTCTTAAGGGGATGGTTAGGTCTGTTTTATTGACAAATATTATTTTCATTTAACTCTTTATTAGCTATAAGGAGTGAAAAATCCTTTACTAGAATTAAAGTAATTCATAATAAGAAATCTGGGCTATTATATGTGTATATAAAAAGAAGCCAAAAAAGTTAAATAATTAAGTTAGAGTTAAATAAAAATAATATTCGTCGATAAAACACCTAGTCAGCATCCTTTAAGAGGCGTATGGGCTTTTTAGGATCGAACCGGGTTCGAATCTGGAACTTTTTGCCTATCAGTCCGCAATTTTTAGATGAGGTCACATGTCACCGATTTAAGTAGAGAGAATAATATACTAGGTTTATTTATAAAAGAATATTCGAATTGCGTTCTTGAAAAAGTACCACTCTTTCGAGATTACGATTAATATAATTGGACTGTTTTAGCGTCTCGACAGTATTCTGCATTTTCGTTCAGCAATCCAGTTTACGAACCTAGCGCTCCTTCGGGGAATCCGCCTGGTAGTGCTGGACCGACTTATAAGGTCGAAGACGTCGTGGTTATGGGAGGCGCTTACACAAGCACACAAAGCACAAGTACACTATGGTCCGGCATAAAAAGTAAGAGAATACAGTTTTCCTATTTCATCCAAAAAATAATTTATTTTTTACATATTTACACACAAACTTATAATACACTCACTCCAAAAAAGGGTTACACTTAAAATTTGGAAAAAAATTACTTAATTTTAAATGACGATAACTTCGAAAATAATAAAGATAGAAAGGTTTCTAAAAATGAATATAAAGCTTGGAATCTCTACTTGAAAAATCTATTCATTTCAATGTTGCGAGATAAATTTATTAAAAATGGTGAATAACAAAACAAGAGCATGCAAAATTGAAAAATAATGGTTCGAGTTTGCCAATGCACATAGCGTGAGTCAAATATAGTAACGCAATGGAATTAAAAGCATATGATGGTACAGAGTTTCTCCTTTAAAATGCTTTTCTATTTATCTCGATATGATGATTTTTCGCCGAGATATTCGCATTTGGAGAAAACGCTTTTTTTATTTTAAATGTGAATAATTTTGTGAAAAATCACCGTATCGAGATGAATAAAAAAGCATTTTAAAGAGAAGATTCTATACTATCATATGCTTTTTATCCCATTGAGTTATGACATTTGACTCACGCCATGTGCATTGGCAAACTCGAACTATTATTTTTCAATTTTGCATGTGTCGTTTTGTCATTCGCTATTTTTAATAAATTTATCTCGCAACATTGAAATAAATAGATTCTTCAAATAGAGAGCTTTATATTCATTTTTTAGAAACCTTTCTTCAAATAGAGAGCTTTATATTCATTTTTTAGAAACCTTTTTATCTTTATTATTTTCAAAGTTAATCGGGCAAATTAGTTTTTATTTTATAATTCAATAAGAATAAATTTCTTTGATGTTTTAATGAAGATATTTCGTAATTTTTCTTTAGTAAAAAATAAATAAATTAGTAACAAATTAAAAATTATGAATGTATTTTTAATGTTGTACAAAAGACCATAAACTATCGACTATATTTTTGACGATTACTATATACTTTGTCTCATTGCAAACGATTTTTAATAATTATGGTACAGAAAAACTCATTTAATAATTATTTTGTAATAATTTTATAACGCATGGCTTTCGATACATTAAAAATAATAAATCGTCATTTGAAATTTGGTAAATTTTTTCCAAATTTTAAGTGTACTGTTTTTTTTTTGGAGTAAGTGTATTTGATATTATTTTTTACAAATTTTACATGATTGTGATTATTGAATCATTGTTGTGAAACAACAATGTTTCAACAAGATCGATTAATATTCATAGGGAAAATTTAAAATAATTTTTTAGGAGGTTTGCTCGCTAGACTCGAAGTCGCCAAATTGATCTTTCCGTACATGGCCAGTATTGGAGTTGCTTACTTCGTAACCCTCTGCTTGTACCCAGGAATCGTATCGGAAATAATATCCTGCAAATTTGAATCGTGGATGCCAGTTATTCTGATGACCGTCTTCAACTCCGCTGATTTATTCGGCAAGGTTGTCGATTATTTAAATTGTATATGACATTAATCCTTTGTTCTTTTTTAATATTTTGTTTTCTTTGCATTCAAATGGACGAATATTTTAACACTTTTTTAATACTTTATTTATTTATACTTATTCTTAAAATACTTTCCTTTTGATTAATATTGCTATTATATTATCATGTTATTTAATTTTTAATATCTCTAGAAAATCTAATTAGAAGATATAACACTGTGCAACAAAAAATGATTTTTTTTAACATTGAAACGAGACTAGTCGTTTCTTATAGTTTTTTGGATGCTGAATATGAATAATATCTTCAAAATTGCTCAATAACGTCACAATTTTAAGAGACATGCAATTAAAGTTGCAAAAAAGTCTATTTTCATGAACTTTGTCATATTATAGCTACAATATGCGACATGCTAAAAAAGTTTTCTTGCTATCAAAATAAAATATATTGTTAGGATTTTAACCCTGAATAGGATTTTTCAGTGATGTGATAGAGCAATTTTGAAGACAGATTTGTGTTCAGCATCCAAAAAACTATAAGAAACGACTATAGTTTTGTGCCGGTGTTTTTTTGTTGAACAATGTAATAGATGTTGCTTGAATATAAATATAACATATTAATGCAAAAATGGAAAATATATAAAAGTGATAAAAACTATAAAATTAAAAAGTATTAAAGCATTTATGTTTTTTTATATAGAATTATAATACAGATTATCTGGATTTTTTATAGGCATTCGGTTTAATACCTTACGAATGGAAGCGCACTCAGTTACTCTATTTCTCTAGTGCGCGAATCATACTTATTCCCCTATTTCTACTTTGCGCAATTCCACGTGGTGCTCCTATTCTCTCCGGCGAGGGATTTCCGCTTGTGCTCTCCTGGCTCCTTGGCTTTACAAATGGTGTAATCGGTTCCATACCAATGATTCAGGCGCCAAGCAAAGTACCAGAAGAACATCGAGAACTTGCAGGTCTATATAATAAATACAAAGAGTACGGACAGTTCCCAAGTGACAAGCATATACGTCATTTTGACGTCGAATAACGTCATTGGATGTCAAAATGACGTCAGTTTGCTATTTGTTGCTCAAAATTTTCCTAACTCGAGATTGGATTTTATTTTTTGACTTAAAATAAAATTTATAATGCGATTACGAATACGCGAGTTTTTAAGTGGACCAAATTATTTAAGAGAAAATAGCTCATTTAAAATTCTGATTAACAAATATGATGCCACGTCAAATGAAAAGATTTCTTTTAATCAGCTCAATTTCAATAATTTACACCCCATGTTTATTTCTTTTTTTTTTCAACAAGATTTATTTTGACAATAAAGCAAACAAGAAAACTAATGCCAAAAGCCATTTTATTGAGTGTTACGATTAACTGCAAGTGTCAGTCAATCAGGTCAATCAGATATAGCAAAAACGGGATTAAAACCATTAGGATCATCTGTCATATTGGAATTAGAATGAGTTATTCTCTGAAAATAGTAACTCGGTCCATTTTGAAACTTATGCATATTCGCAATCTACGTGTCGTAAACTTTATTTTCAGCCAAAAATGAATCGAGAAAAGTTTGAACAACAGGTCTATAGGCACTTGTTCACACTATTTTCGTTAAAATATAATAGTGATAAAAGGGAAAAAAGAAGGAAGGAAACAGAATGTAAATTATTGAAACGCGGTAATTAAAAAATTTTTTTCATTTTCAATTCGTCTACTTCCTACATTTCAAAAAACTAGTGTACTCCAGCATTTAATATTAAACATTTTGTATGCCACTTATTTAAAGATTACACTAGTTTACAAAAAAATACTTATTTCATTATTTTAAATCAGACAAGGTATTTTAAAATAGACATGTTTCTTATAAATTTTTGAGTGCTTGAAATTTGCTTCCGAGGAAAAAAGGTTTTTTAGAAGGAGTTGTTTTTCCCAAAATTAATTTTGCCATTATTTTTTTTTTTTTAGACCATATATAACATTTTTTTCGAACAATTCCAAGTAGACAATTAAAATGAGACACCTATATATAAATTTTTTTCTTATTTAAAATAATATTCAAAATTAATCTATTACAGCTCTAACAGCACACATTCGAAAGACGTTTAGACATGTAGAGGATATTCGAATGTCCTCTGGATATCCTCTGAACGTTTTTCGGATATGTTGTGCTGTTAGGAAGATTTTTATTAATCCGTTAAACTTAAAAGTTAATATAATATACAATATCATATTTTATTAGGTAACATTATGACGTTATCGTATACTACTGGATTGACCATCGGATCTTTATTGGCGTATATGATGGATGCCTGTCTCGGCCCGTCTGTGCAAGTTAAGGACGTGTGCGCGCAGTTGGCGAATAGTCAAATTTTGACGACCCCGCTCAGCAACGTGACGGCGAGCATTCTGATAAACGGGATATCTTCCACTTTGCCCGTCGTTGAAAGAATGACGGCGATGCCGAAGGCGAAGACCACTGCCAATGTGCTAACTACGATTCTGATGTCCACGTTATTGTCGAATAGCACCGTAAGCCTACTAAGTGACGAAGGGGCGCTGAATGCGTCCACGACGGTTTTACCGAAGTTCTTAGCTAATGTTACCACTTCGGCAAGTAACGTGATTTTGCAACATTAGGACGCATATGTTTGTGCGCTGTGTTAAATCTGGTGCTTTCACATATATGAGAGAGAAAGAGAGAGGGGGGAGAGGGAGAGGAGAAAGAAAGAAAAATTATGGGTGTATGTGTGCGTGTGTACGCAAAAAAATTATATACGAGTTGAAGAAGTCGCTATAAAGCTAAAGTGTTTAAATTGATGAAATTTGTAAGTTATTGTAATAATTGTTGACAAGTGTTTAATTTTTTTGTTATGTTGCTAACTATAAGATATGAAGCTTATATTTTGTTTGTGTCCATATTATGTATCATTTCTGAATTTACTTTTTGCTTGATTATTTTATGTAAAGATTGTTTTTAAAAAGATTAGAAAAATAAAAAAAAAATAGTATACCTAATTTTATTGCAAGTGATAAAAATAAAATATAATACAATTCAAACAATATGTAATATATTATTAAAGCACGAGACGTTCAGCAATTGTTTCTGAATGTTCCGGTTATTCGAAAAATTGTGTAGATAAGATATATCAATCTTGGAAATAAAAGGCCAGAAAATAATGCAAAAAGTTAAACCTTTTAAATCTTTTAAAGGTTCTTTACATTATTTATAACACAATATAATTCGAGATTGGATTTAAAAACAATAATAGAAATAAGAAACAAAGTATGTTTCAAAATCATAAACTTTTTCAATTTTTCTCTATTTGAAACATCCTAATAGATTTTTTATTTATTAATAAATTTTGTTATTAATGTATGAAAAAATTAATGTATGAAAATAGCATGAAAAAAGAATCAAAAAATAAAAAATATTTTTTCTTAATATATGTATATGCAATTGAATTAGATGCACTATAGGAGAAATATGAACCAGTAAAAACAAAAAGGAAAATTTATTATTTTTGAAAATTTTAAGTTTAATACACGATGTTGTGAGAAAATAAAAAAACAAAATTTTAAAAAAATTATAAAAAATTTTATTATTATTTTATTATTAAATTAAGTATTAAAATACTTTTGGAATTTACAAACATGCTTGAATATATAAAATATCATAATTTATGTCTATTTGATTGTTTTAAATAACTTAAATAGTGCCTCTTTGTTTTTGCTTCAAAGGAAGAACTCTTTATATTAAATATTTTTCCGTTTACATTTTGTCAGTAATACTTTTATTTCTACACATATAAAAAATAATTATAATTTCTCTTATAATCTATATTTACTTAAAAATAGATAAATAATTTTAAAAATCTATCTATTTTAAAAATGGCCTACATTTGTATAAAATTTGGTTCAATTTACCTTTTTTAAGGGTGATAAAAATAATATTTAACATTTATATAAAGGTTTCTTTATCAGTTTTTTTTTTATAAAAAAATTAATCTTTCGTTTAAAAAGTTTAAATTTAAATCTTAATTATATACATTGTATATAAGTTTGGTATTATTAAAAATGCTATTAATTGAATAAATGAAACATAATTTAAATAACATTAAATGTATGAACAATGCTATTTATTTCATATTTTAAAAGTTTGAGTGACGTAGATCATCTCAATTACTTTTCTGTTTAACTCTGAATTTCTATATGTATAACGCGAACAAAATAAAGTATATTTTAATTTTAATTTATATCTAACAATAAATAAAAAAATAAATAAAATTGATTATTATATTTATGTTCCAAGTTGATAAGAACAGGCATTATAAATTGTTATAAATATGTTATTTAAATTCGGAGTATTCTGCTATTTTTGTAAATTGCATAATATAATTATATATTATAGTAAACGTTGATTCAATTAAAAATTGAATTTTATATTTTATTTTAAAAGAGATTGAAATTTTTTTTATTGTAAATGTTGATATTGGATACTGCGTTTGTAATATTTATTTATGCGTAGGCTACATTATATATATGGTGCACTTTATTTTGTATGTACTGTGATAAAGTTGTCTTTCGAAATAACATCAGATTAAACACACGCACAAAGAAATTGTAACAATTGTGTATAAAATTACGTTTACAGAGGTATGAAGCTGAAAAGTGATTGTCGCGAGATACACGTTGAACTTCAAATGTTTCTTTTTTGTTATGAAGGATATTGCATGCCTTTTATTTCGTATCAGCAAAAAAATAACTGTTTCAAATATATTTTTAAAAGCGATAAAAAGAATAAAATTGATTTTTTTTGTAGAAAATAATGTTATGTACAAAGTACATGGTGCGTTCACAAAGTTTCAAGACTGATTTTTTCCTGAGTAGGGGAAGGCACGCAGACCGGTTCTACCGACAGGGTAAAGTAGTTGGGGGTGTCAGCTAACCGACTGTTCAGCGGCAATTCCCTCCGAGAAGCTGGAGTGAGCAGATCGCTAGTAGCGTGAGTGCGTGTCAGTGACCCCTGTCGAAAACTCGGAGAGTCGAAAATGCAGCGTTATTCGATAAAGTTCTGTGCGAAACTGAACAAAACCGCTACAGAAACTTTTGGTATGATTCAAGAGGCCTATAAAGAAGAAGCCATGTCACGTGCAATGGTTTTCATGTGGCACAAGAGATTCAAAGATGGCCGCGAGGACGTTGACGACGATGACCGCGCTGGGAGACCTTCCACAAGCCGAACTCATGAAAATTTGGTGCAAGTGCGTGAACTTTTAAATACTGACCGTCGTCTTTCACGCACTTTCACCAAATTTTTATGAGTTCGGCTTGTTAAAGGTCTTCCAGTGCGGTCATCGTCGTCAACGTCCTCGCGGCCATCTTTGAACCTCTTGTGCCACATGAAAACCATTGCACGTGACATGGCTTCTTCTTTATAGGCCTCTTGAATCATACCAAAAGTCTCTGTAGCGGTTTTATTCAGTTTCGCACAGAACTTTATCGAATAACGCTGCTTCAAATGACGCTGCATTTTCGACTCTCCGAGTTTTCGACAGGAGTCACTGACACGCACTCACGCCACTAGCGATCTCGGAGGCAATTGCCGCTGAACGGTCGGTTAGCTGACACCCCCAACTACTACATCCTGTCGGTGGAACCGGTTTGCGCGCCTTCCCCTACTCATTGTCAGGAAAAAATCAGTCTTGAAACTTTGTGAACGCACCATGTAGTTCCGCATTTTATTTTGATCAGTCCAATAACTCGAAATGACGAGGTTTTAGAACAAAATGTATCAATAAAAGTTGTAGCATTGTAAATAGGACTTAATATCGTGATCTAGAATTAGCCTTGATCATTACAAAATCATTTGGCGTTTTTCAAGGTCATTTAAAGGTCAATCTGTGATTTTTTTAAATAAATAGTACTTTTATTACATCAATTGATTGCTCTCATTCTTTTGTATAGATCAAAATATTGAAATAAGATTATCAAAGAATGAATATTTTATAAAATATTTTATAGTTTATCTAAAATTATATCAAATTAAAATATCTCAAACTATTCATGTTTTTGGCCATCCTACTCTTATAACTTTTATAAATATTGCGAGAAATCGATTTATACAAAAATATGGTGGTTTTAAAAAAAAATACTAATTTTTAAATGACCTTGAAAAACACTATTCAAGCGTAATTCTAGATCACGATACTATCCCAGCAAACACAGTATATAAATGTTATATACTCAAGCATGTTACATGTAACGTATATGTTAGTTGTAATTTCCCACACTCATAGATTTAACATTTTTAATATTACATATATTACATTGTAGTTATATTGCCATTATATCCCAAGATAGCACTGACTTATCAATACATCAATGTGCTATTTGGTATATAATTACAATATGACTACAATGTAATATATGTTATAATAAAATGTTACATCTATGAGTGGGAAATTACAACTAACATGGATGTTACATGTAACGTGCACGTTATATTATCTGTTATATTCCGTTTTATTATAGATATGTAACAATTATATATCGGTGTTTGCTGGGATATGTACTTCTCTACAACTTGTGTTTAAAATATATTTTTTTTTGAAATGTTATTATTTCGAGATATTTGGCTATTGAAAATGGGACACCATATATACTTATCTTGTATATTTATTCTTGTCTTTATTGTTAATTTATTTTAATGCGTAATATAGACTGATAAACTATTTGATGGTTGATGATCGACAAGTTTTTGCCAGGAAGGTTATTGCATGACGAGTATATTCTGTCGAGCTGTTATACGTATCTACGTGTGTGTATATAGTTGATTGATACGATTGAAATATAAAATACGTGTATTTATGTGGCACATTAGGCGTCATAATTACTTTTACAATTCACTAGATCCACTTTCTAGATGCACTTTCGGAAGAAATGCCACATTATTATACATCCTGATTTGTAGTAAAGAAATAAACGCAACAATAAACAATAATTGACGCAACATATTTGATATGTTCCCAGCAAACACCAAGTAATTATTATATAACTGTTAGTTATAATTTTCCACTCAACAATGTAAATGCAATATAACACACGTGTTATATTGCATTTACATTGTTCAGTGGAAAATTATAACTAACAGTTATATAATTGTTACTTGGCGTTTGCTGGGTTATATCTAAAGTATAAAGACATAAGTAGAATCTATTACAAGGATTGCAATACAAAGAATTGTTGTTAAAACACAATTGTTTATTTGATTTCAATATAATTATAAGGAACATATAATATATATGTATATATATATATATATATATATATATAATTAAAATTAATTTGTTTATTGTTTTAAAAAGACAAATTTCGCATTCATTAATAAAATAAGAGAAACAGTAATTTCTTTTAATATTAAATTTTTCTACGAAAATGTAAATCCAAAAATTCAAGTATTCTTTTATTTTTATAAAATATAAAATATTTGTAAAAAGTGTTGGTTGTCAATTACGGATCATTGTTAGTTGTCTTTCTTGCTACGATCACACATCATGATACATTTAAACACAAATGCGTTGATACTTAATGATCATCTATTAAATATATGAATCAGGATCTTTACGATACCTATAAAGAAGAAAACTCGACTTTTTCTCACACAAATACTCTTGCTCCCATTTTATCCCGCCAGCTTTGTTAATTGCATTATCTGCTCAAAACATATCCGATGT